AAAAACTAATATATTACAGAGAGTGGTGGTCGAAAGCTTAATGAAAATAAAATGCTGACATCAAAAAAAGCCAGGTGAGTTGATTGACATATGTCATGCTTAAACATTATAGTATTTTAGTGCATTTAAAGTCATCATGAAATCAAAATAGACTATTCTTATTTTTTATATGGAATATTACAGAAGTTTATTGGAAGATTGCACAACGATCCAATCAATTCTCAGTGGTCAAAATCAAGCCCCGTCCTACATTTTTTTTTTCTTGTTCGAGAAGCTGTTTCATTCAGATATGAAGAGTTCAGATGCAAAAGCCTCTAAGTGCCATTTGAAATTTTCTTCTAGAATGATCATTTATATCAAGCTTGTATATTTAAGTTCAGTGATTTCACATAAATGGCAATGATAACTACCTATTAATTGTTATTTAACTGAATTTACTGAACTTAAATATACAAGTTTGATAAAAATCATCATTAAAGAAGAAAATTTCAAATGGCATTTAGAGGCTTTTGCATCTGAACTCTTCATTTAAAGAGAAGAAAAGACTTCCATTCTTCATGTCAACTTCAATTGCGAGTTATGATGAACATAGTGAAAATATGTATGCCATTTTGACAGGTTTGATCCCTATGGCAAATCTGGATTTGCCACTTGCAGAATATGCAAAAGCTCTGTCCATCAGTCTGGTTCACACTACTGCCAGGGATGTGCTTACAAGAAAGGTGAGATGCTTAGATGCTCTTTTGTTTCTGCCACAAATATATATATTCTCAGCACCCCTCTCTTTCTACTTTCCAGGAATTTGTGCCATGTGTGGGAAGAAGGTTATTGACACCAAGAACTACAAACAGACCTCAGTTTGATTTATTCTCTCGTGCTGGTGTTTAGCTGAGAAGGGGATGTTCGTGGATGATTATGTTGACTCTACTACGTGTTGAGAATGATCATTTAGTTTCACAAAAGAGTTTAATTTGCAGTGTATTATGGCAAAGTGCTGTGAACGAAGTGTACTGGATTATGACTGTATTTATATGAAAATATGTCAGTGGTATTTTTCTCTCACTTAACCTTAGAGCAATATATTGGCTTGCACTGTTTGGACAATGTAGATGCCTTCTTTAAGTATATTTTCTGGAGAATATTTTTTCTAAATATTCTCATTCATTTCTTTTTGTAAATAATTTATCATTTTAATACTACCAAGCATTATGATGGCAATTTATTGCCTTTTTATTCTTAGTCATCAGACCTTACCAAACTCTAGGCTTTGACTTTTAAATGTCATCTCTTGCCCGAATTAAGAAAAGATATAAAGATAAGTTTGAAGTGCTATTTTTTTCTACTGTTTTCAAGGCAGTGTCACTACGGCAGAATCGAATGTAAATATGAAGCCAGTAGACAGTGACATCATGCAAATTTAAGACCGCTATAACTTGTTAATAACCTGTTTCCCCTTCTTATTGTCCCACCATTAGTTCTTTTTGTGAACACATGTTGTAGATATTTTCTGAAAATCTGTTTGTTTCCATTTTCAGGGATCATTTGGAATTACTTAATTTTGAATTTCCTTTAGATGTCTTAAACCCACATACTTAATAGGAATTGTTGACAGTAACTGCTGCAAATGCTCGTACACAGTTTATTTTGCCTTATTTTAAGTACGAGGCGGCACAACATAGCAATACTTTGATGCTGTGTAATACCATTCCCTTAATATCAGTTAAAGTAAGAATTGACACCTGTACCAATGTGAGACTGTTTTTACCTCTATAAATAAAATTGACAACAAGCAGAGACTAATGCATTTCATACTGGTGCTTTAATGTTTTAGTTGGAATAGTTGACATCTGTTTTGTTTTATACAATTCAGACAAATATATTATGTAAAAAACGGCAATATTCAAATGTCAATATTGGTTACTTTGAACCACATACAAATGATTCCCCAGATACATAGAACATTTGACTTCTATAACAATAAATCAGGTTGGCTTATGACTCTATGAATATTATCTAATCAGAGTACATGACATACAATTAATAAGGTTAGACAAGTATCTGAGGCAATATGTTAATTTAGTAATTGTTAATCAGTAAGATAATAGAAATGACTTGTACATAATTGTATCAGTTTTAAGGCAGCCGTGTGAATGATTCAATGGCAGGTCTTTTTCTCAAAAGAAGTACTCCATATAGGAACACTGATCCTTCATTATTCACATTTTATATTTCAATATTTGTAAAAACTGTGAGTTTCAGCTGTTGGCGATACAGCAGTGTCTCGGTAGCTGGTGGACAGATCGAACGCTTTGGCTCAGTGAGATTCTCTTAGCACCATGGAGGGTTTCAAACGTAGAGAATAATCAATGACCTTTTTGACTGTAAACACACGGGGTTGGCACAGGTAAGTGTGATCACTTTGCACTTTTTGTCAGGGCGAGAAACTCCTCTCGGGCCTTCGGGTCCTCTCTGAATACACCCAGCATAGTACTGGTCACAGTACGGCTGTTCATCTTCTGCACTCCACGCATGACCATGCACATGTGACTACAACAACAAACATCCATTCAGGTCACACATAACAATTCCATCAACCGTGACAGTCACTGTTAACAGAAGCTGAATGAAAGTACTGTATTCTCAGCTTTGAAGTTACATTGCATTAGATAATTGTACATAATCTGACTGAATGTTGTGTCAGACTGTGGTTTGTCTTTCAAATACTTACGCTGCCTCAATGACGACTGCTACACCAACAGGCTGCAAGGCCTCAGAGATTGCCATTGCTATTTGCTTCGTCAGGCGCTCTTGGACTGCAATAAGCAAAATTAAGAGTAAAACACAGAGGAAGCAACACTATCATGTTTTGTTGTGACGAGGAGAGTATAGAGGCAGGATCTACAACAGCAGTTGCTTCTTTAACTTTACAAGATGACAGAAACACAGGAGCACTGAATAAATAGAGGGATAGAGCACTGAAAATGTTATACTGGATTATGTACAATATTTTTTTTATCCAAGTAATGTTTCCAATACTATCATCCAAAAGGTATCAGTCTGTAAAATTGTCTCTTTTGCAGTAGAATATAGTACAGTAGAAAACAGTAATATTGTGAAATATTACATATTAAAATAACTGTTTTGCATTTGAATATATTTTAATGTATTTGTAATTTATTCCTGTGATGGCAAAGCTGAATTTTCAGCATCATTACTCCAGACGTAAAATAAGTTCAGAAATCATTCTAATATTCTGATTTGATGATCAAGAAACATTATTTTTATTATTAATATTTTATTATTATGATTCTCAATGTTGAAAATTAATATTTCTGTGGAAACCATGATCCATTTTGTCATGACTCTTTGATGAAAAGAAAGAAATTTAAATCTTTTGCAATATTATAATTGCCACTTTTGATCAATTCAATGCATCCTTGCTGAATAAAAGTATTAATTATACTATGAATAACAAATATCTATCTATTTTTTCTTTAGGAAAGTATCTAGTGATGCTTACCTTGAAGTCTGCGACTGTAGATTTCAACAATCCTAAAGAGGGACAAAATCAAGTTAAAACACCAAAAATGCTGAAATGATCAAACAGACAATTTAATAGGTAGCTATATCCTTAAGAGCAAAGAATGACAATATTAGCAGAATATTACTGTTTTTCCAGTATGTCGTACCCTCTTTCTCATAAGCAGTTTTCTTATAATTATTGTTTCCTAAATTTATATATAACTATAGTGTAACTGGTAAATGTTCTAGAAACATTTGTGATAAGGTTAGTAATATATATAAAGGCAGCTGTCTGTGTGTATTTTACTCTGGCAAAGGAGCATTAACCTACATGTGATATTTTGTGAGGGCAGCAATGTTAATGGTTCCCACAATCACCCCACAGTGGAGTTGGGAGTTGAGGGGGATTTCCTCAGCGCCAGAGGTCAGCTAGTCTGGCGTTTTTCAGATGGGACAGGATACTGTGCCAGGCTTTGGATCTAAGCTTCAAGTGAATGGGCTGTGATAACAGAAGAACTCAGCCACTTGTAACTAATATGTTCTCTTTTTTGGTCCCACTGTGATGTGAGAACAAGGCCCTTTATCATCCGTCTGAGACTGGCACACTAAATTGTGTGTGTGTGTGTGTGTGTGTGTGTGTGTGATATACTCACCTTGCAAGCTTACTGAGTCCAACAACCTTTTTACTTGGCAGATATCCTATGTGAACCTACAGATTAATTAACAAAATAATTTATCACTTCATTTGTCATGTAATGCAGCTCAGTGAAAAGAACCCATTGACCTGCCAGCACTAAACACTCTCCCAGGCATAGTCAAATGCATGCATCCGAGATCCCCTTATAACCCATAAAAAACACCTAGCACTGCATCAAGCATAATATAACATGAACTAACTGGCTAAAAGCATTACAATTATTGATGGATAATGAGACATACCTTGCCAAAAAATGGTACTAGATGATGTTCACAAAGTGAAAACATGTCAATATCTTTCACAATAACTAGCTCCTCGTGGTCCTCATCAAAGATGGCATCATTAAGTATATCTGTAGAATATGAAAAAAATATATATATACAAAATAATTGAATTGCTTAAACACGTAACTTTTATGGTATTTTGCTAGCGGACACAGATCATTTTCACATTATAATCCTCCTATAAATCAGGTTCATTCAGGAGAGAGGCAAAACTGTGTAGGAACTAAACTGTGATTAGTTAAAGTAGACTTTAACACCAATTAGATTATTAAGCGGGGGCTTTCAGCATCTGTTGTTGACTAATTGAGCAATTCCAGAATGACGTATGTAAATAATGCAACCCCTCATCGAAGTAGTGGAATTGTCAGACCCACCAGTGAGTAAAAAAATACTGCTCAAATATTGCATAGCTACTGAAAAGCATTAGGATCAGAATGATAGGCTAAACAATTTTATTAAAAAAAAAAATGTTATATACTTTTTGTCTTTATTCATATACATAAACATAAAAACCAAATTGGTGATGATATAATAGCTAGAATTATGTCCAAGCACAAAATTATCTTAAAGTTGGCATGAAACGGAAAAAAATGTATGACAGGACTTGATTTTGCCCTATGGGTTTTGCCAGGTTGTCCCGCCCTAGCACCAGTAAACACCTCAGAGAATAGATGTCATTGCAAGAAGGAGGATCTAGATATTCATTCACATGCGTTTGATACATTTGCAAAAGCACAGTAAACTTGCTCTCAAATGTTCACGAACCGTCGGCGTTGACCGTTCCAATATGGCGGGCTGCTTACGTTTAAAAGCCCGTAGAAAAAGCAGCTAATGAGCCATCTGTGTACAGGCTATTACTCTATGGTTCAATCAAGCAGTTAAGCTGCTGTTGCTATAGTAACGTTAACGTCTGGTGAAAGTGATTTTCAAGACGTGTCTGCTGACAAACTTAAAATCTTACTTTGTGATTAGTACTAAAACGCTGTAAAGACTTCCCTCTGCAAAACGAAATCGTAGAAGTCGAGAGAAAATTTTCTCTCAAAAAAAATGTATAAAAAATATAAGTATAGGCTACTTACCATAGATGGTCTCGTGGTAGCCTTTGGTCAGGAACTGCATGGCCTTAGCTGCACGGAGTGGGGTTTTAAGGAGACCCTGCCGGTCAGTGTTCTCTCCCAGACCTCTCAGTATGGTTGTGTACGCCGCCTCCAGAGCAGGTAACCGCGACTCATCCTCCGCCTCTTTCCGGGATGTCTCGTTTTTGTGCTGGACTGCGACTTTTTTCGTATCGACTGTCAGCTCGCTAAAGCCATTACGGCAGAGATACTCTGTGACAATTTTGCCATTGCTAAAACCGTTCAATTCTGCCGCCTTTTGGTACTCCATTGAATGTATAGGCTACTTCAAATGACTATTTAAAAGAGAATAAATTATTACTATTAATATGTAGGCTAATATAAAAGGTAAATGCAATCAGACGTCTATTCTTGGTCCTCAGGTATAGGCAGGAGATGGTCGTAGTGCTCTTGAGTTGAGATGCAGTTGCAGTCTAAAAGTCTCTCCCACTCAGCGTGGCATTTATAGGAGCCCTTCACTATCGCTGTGTCCAATTGAGCACGTCAGGATTTAGTGTGTAAGCACGCGCTCCGTTGAGTTTTACATATGTCACACCTTTTTATGGGGTGTAATTGAATAATGTGTTACAGTCATGCAAACGGCAGAAACTGATTCGTGATTTGCTAGTCTGAATGTAAAGACACTGAATGAGAGTCAAACGTCTGAGCATATGACCTCACGTGCTCACCCATAAACTAGACCCCCATAATCTGTATTACGTACGTCAAATTCTTTTAAAGTTTTTTTAAAAAGCTTTTTAAAGTGGTTTTGAAATATAATATAGCCTATAATATAATTTTCAATGGCGATATTTAAAAGGTGCACACAAATAGACCTAGACATATTTGGAATTAAGGTCCAATTGACTTCTGTTGTGTATGAGCTTATGATATTTGATATTCTCTACCACTAAATCTAAATCTAACCATCACACAAAACATTTTTTTTTTCGTATTAAAACATTTAATCATTATTTGTATGTTGTACCGAAAGTATAATTTCGTTCCTATAATTAAAGTCCTGATCAAAGCATTCATCCATTGAAGAAAGTTTGGGAATCATATGACTTAAAATATTAAAAATAGGGTTATTCCTCACTGCAGCATATCCAAGACTGATCTCTGTGACAAAGCTCGTTTCCCCAAAAAAGGTCAGTTTGCTTATTTTTGCTTGAAATTTGATCATGTGAATGTCAGGCGTGGGCTAAGGTGCTTTTAAAAAATCTTGAGATTTACAGTGGGTTATATAATAACTGTATGCAGGTAGACATTTTTTATTTAATAAAATAAAATAAAAGAATTAATTAATAAATTATTGAAAGTATGAGCAATGAATGAACTATATATGAACATGAATGTTTTGGAATTATGCCTTTGTTACTTACAATGCTCCAGTATACTCAAATGAATTTCCTCATAAAGTACAAAAGAACACAGAATCCAAGATCATAACCAAAAGGAGATTACTCCTTATGCAATGTACAAAAATAACCCAGCAGCTCCATTGCATTAATATATTGCGTCACCTGACCTTTTCTCCCTTGTGATGATGATGATGATGATGAAGGGCTCTGGTAAGTCTGGCCTTCAAGGGGTGAAATGGAAAAGTGGCTGACTGACCAAAAAGATAATTTGTTCCTTGAAAAAACATCACAATTGAATTCAAGGGATGAACAGTAACATGTAGGCCTAATAACAAGGTATTACTGTATGTGATAACTGCACATAATGTAATGATGTTGGTATTGTTTTTCATTTAACATGTATACCTTTTTGTTGTCAAATTAAAAAAAATAATATTCTATTTTAACAAAAATCCTCTTATGTAAATATAAGTACAATAATAATAATAATAATATGAACATTATATATAGAAGTAATTTACATTTTAAAACTGTAGAGGAATACCAAGGATTTTAATGTTTAATAATAATAATAGCAAGAAAGAATATTTAAATCCAGTGCATTAGATTAAGACTTGATTTGGATTTTAAAAGTGTACTGTACGGAAATACAAATGTTTGTTGTTGTTTGTTTGTTTAAAAAGCTATTACAATTTTGACAAAATGGCATTATTTTGGGTGAGTTTGTAATGTAATTCATTTCTCATAATGTATTTTTTTAGATTATGAGCTTAATATTTTATTACTTTTTGAGAAAATTATTACATTATGAACATTTTATTACATCAATAATGTAACATTTATTACATTGTGTGCTGTTATTACATTAATAAGCTATGAATGCAGCTGTTTTGGCCATAATTATGTTTTATTTGTTATATGGCACACTTTATGTGCAATTACATTTCAAATGTCTAACCATTTCAAAAAAATGTTCTGATTTGTGAAAGACATAGTGCAGATTTAAGAATCAAAAGAGTCGGCTCTCATTTGAGCTTAAAGGCAGGATCTGCAAGGCTCAGTAAAAGATTCCCATCACAAGTGGCAAGGCCTGCTGCGTGCTCTGCTTAATGTAGACCTGCTTTTGACATTGTACATTGTGACATTTTTTTAACATGCCTGACGTCATCAGTGTATGACAAGATCAAGATATCAGAGCATGGCATGAATCACAGCATCACAGCAAGTAGATCAAATAAGCCATGTTACTGTGGAGACCAGGCGAACAAAATGCTTACCCCTCAGGCTTTGTGGGCTGTGCATGACCCATATGCATGAACAGAGGAAGAGTTTCTAAGCATTTTTTTTTTTTTTAATTTTGCAAAGATCATGTATTTTTTGGGTTGATACATGTATATGCTGCAAGATTTTGCCAAATTAATTATTTAACAGCTAAAAAAAGGAACATTTCGAACTTACAGGTTGAAATGTGTTTTCAGGAAAATTAAATTTTTCATGTCATGATTGTGTTCTCAGTGAATATCGGTTTGTGAGCCATAATGGTGGAACGTATTATTGAAACCAAGATCTACACACTGTGTGAGAATTTGTTTCGACGGTTTTTAAAAAGACGGTTTTCATCCAGTCGTTCCAGTTTCATAGTTCGTCGGTGCCAGGTGCTAGCGCGGGTCAACGGTAACTGCTAGCCTGCCATACACATATTTGGGTAAAGTGGGTAAAACTGTTTTTAATGGCAGGCTAGCACTTACCGTTGACTCTCGCTAGCCTGGCACCAGCAAACTGTGCAACTGGAATGACTGGATAAACATTTTTTAAAACTGCCCCCCTTGATAAATAACGCTAAGACTAACTTGGAAATGAGGCACAATGTCCAAAATCCTGAACCACCCCTTTAACAGACACATGTAAGGCCATAAAGGAGATGTTACAGTAGGAAAAGATATCTGTGCAAATCAGCGTGGAGAATTTCTTCACGCAGAGGACTCTTTTTATTTGCTGATGACAAGAGGAATGAAAGCTGTGTCGATCACCCTTGAGATACAGGCCATATGAGAAACCATGTGTTCTGAAAAAGAAGCTTCCCTTCACAAGAACATGTATTGTATATAGCACAAACTATATTCCGCACGTGGTGTTACAAGTCAATAGTAAAACTGTATGACTTTAATAAGTGTAAAAAGTTGAATGAAACCATGTCATTCCAAATGGCTATTTCTTCTGTTGAACTTAGATGAAATTTGAAGAACATCACTCTTCAGTGAATGAACTGTTCAAATGTTTAATACTTTTTGTTTAGAAATTAATACTTTTAATGAGCAAGGATGCATTCATTTCATGAAAAGTGATATTACAGACTTTTATAATGTATATTAGTTAATTAATTCATCTTTCTATTCATCAAAGAAGAAAGTATTATGGTTTCCACAAAAATGTCAAGCCTAACTGTTTTCAAAATTGATAATAATAAGATATCCTGAGCACCAAATCAGCTTGATTTCTGGAGGATCACATGACTCGGAAAAATTGAGTATAATTGACCTGTGTCATCAAAGCATGTTATTTTAACACAAAAAAGGTATTTGAGCCATTAATTTATCAGTTTACATTTCCAATTCCTTTTGCCATACGCTGATTTCAGGCAGCCGCCATTTTGAAATCGAAAGCGAGGCTCCGGTGGGAAGAACCCCGGAAGTACAGATAGACAACAATGCCTTGGATTACCAACCTGAAGCTGCTGTCGTGATTTACACGGATGTTAATATCCAATATAGTTAATATCCAATTATTATGCTTTCGCTATAGCTGCTACCCTCTCCGAAAAATGCTTACCCTACCTTTAATGGCAAGAGGAAGGTTTGGAAATGTAAAGCAATATTTTTGTCTTTCCTGATCAAATAAATGCAGCCTTAGTGAGCATGAGACGTCTTTCACAAACTTTAAAAAAATCTTACATACTCCCAACATTTGAATGGTGTAGTGTAAAGGGATAGGGGGTTTCAAAAGGTGGTATCATAACCCCTTTTACAAGATGTAAAATAGGTCTCTGATGTCCTCGGAGTGTGTATGAGAAATTTTAGCTCGAAAAAACCCACAGATCAGTTTTTATAACATGTTAAAACTGTCCCTTTTTGAGGGTCAGCAAAACATATCGATTTGTGTGTGCGTCCCTTTAAATGCAAATTAGCTGCTGCTCCAGGGTTCAAGAGCTTGTATCCTTAGCAGCTTGCAGACATGCACTAAAATGTCAGAAACTTCTGCTTTTTATGTTCAAACCGGGAGTCGGACAAAGATTTAGAGACTCAAGAAGAAGTGACAATGTAAAATGCAACAGGACGTTTCTGAATGGAGTTGATTAGCATTATTCTTTCATGATAATCTATAAATCGCTAGTGTGGGAACTGTCGTATAAGACAGTGTTTCCCAACCCTGTTCCTGGCGGCACACCAACACTGCATGTATTCTTGTCTCCCTAATCAAACACACCCGATTCAACCCATCAGCTCATAATCAGGTGGGTTAATGAGCTGATGGGTTGAATCAGGTGTGTTTGATTAGGGAGACAAAGAAAACGCGCAGTGTTGGTGTGCCGCCAGGAACAGGGTTGGGAAACACTGGTATAAGATGCCTACAAAGTGACATGCAATGTGTGTTACATACTGTATTGTAATAAATGTGAAAAGACGAATGTGACCGCTTGAGCAGATATCCAAATGTGCTGTACTTCTCTTGTGCTGTCACTTCTCATGGACTCACCCCCTTTGTTGTGTGTTTAAGGGGCAGGGTTTATGTAAATTTGAGGGTTTGTGAGGTTTTGAAACAATTCAATGCAGAGCGTTTGAATTATGGAGAGATCTCCACTATTTTTGTTGTGATAAATTACAAGTTTTCAGATATGCTGAAATAATGGTAAACTGAAATAGCAAGGTAAAGTACAACATATAAGACATGAAATGAATACAAAAGACTGTTCCAGGATAACAAAAAGTAGATGCTTAAGGATATAACTTATTTTATGTACTAGATCTAACGCCACTCATCCCATTACTATCAGATTGTTTATAATACACATTTCCAGACACTTTCAGTACAGTAATGTTACTTCCTATGATCTTACTGTTACACTGATATTGTTCAGTCTAGTTCACTAACCATTTTCATTATCATAATTATACATTCACCTATGTTCACATTACTGATTGTGAAAAATACATGAATTGTAAGTGAAATGCATTAGATAACGCCACAAATGTAATGTTATAATGGTATGAGCATGAGTTTCCAGCATGTCATGTGATACTTTCTCTAGTGTTTTGAAAGTCTGACTGTGGCTGTGTTGTAAAAATTGATTGCAATCTGAAACATCACAGATAGAGGCCGCTAAAAAATACATATAGCACCCTTAAACGATCTCACATGTACAATTTCAGTTCATCAATTATTATTATGCATATTTTAAATGAATACGTATATAAAGGCTATAAAATGATCTTAAATTTTCAATTCTCTCTATACCTTTATCAATTTTTACTTGCACTAATATAGCAAGACCCGTTTTTTTAATACTCTTATTTAATAAGTGAATTGTGCTGCTTCTCTTGCGAGAAATTAATTTCAATGAGTTTTGAATGAGTTTCACTCTTTCTCAGCATGTGGTGGCTGTTCGCTACTGATGTCACACCTAAACTCAGGATCAAAGCCTGAGTTGACAGAGAAAGTTGATGATCAGCATCATGGCACAAACAAAGCCTGGTTGGTTTGGTTTGGTTTTGTCGAACTCGAAACTAATCCTGCAATTAATCCTGAGTTTGTTCAACTACCATCATGGTACAGGCCCCATGTTATTGATCAGAGTGGCGAGTTTGTGATTGTGAGATCCGCGTATAAATATACTGAGAAACTGTCTGAGCGACATAGATTCCAAATGAATGAATAAAAATATAAAGTAGAGTTAAGTAGAAAATCAAATGTATTGTAAATGACCAATAACCAATTGGCAATAACCTAAATTCAAGGTTGTTGTAAAATGGTGTCAGATGAATGGAATTAAATTACTTTGCCACGCAGAAAGACAGTAACACAGACAGACCTTCACCTACTAATCGGAAAATGTCATTGGACTGATTGGGCAGCAAAAAACAGCATATGCCTAACAAAATTCATTATTACCAGTGCAACTGATTAGATTAAAATGAATTACAATACCAATCATTAATTGCACACTAAAATCCACACCAATGTACAGATACATCTGTGGTGAAAAGGGCATTTTTATGTTTTAAGCAGATTAAATCAGTAGAGGGCACTGCATCACTTTTTAATGGGTCTTTGTGGAATTATTTCATAAAGATCAATTAATCATCTTTTCATGATAGGTGAGGGGCTTTAAATGCACAACTAAACGCATGAAACATTCACATGCATGTTTATATCTCCGTTCATTAGGTTGGGATAATAAAGCTCAGAGTGACCTTTAATAATAGAATATTTCGTCAGTTCCGTCCAAATGTTTCAAAAGATCTATGGCAACTACTGAGCACTGTTGTATCACTGCTAAGAGTAATAAGGTGGGAGAAAAAAATTTGCCTAATCTTGCTCACGTGAATATTGCTGACTTGGACTTTCTAAAGTCGCGTGCTTCTGTAATCCACAAAGAGCCATGAATATCAAAGCAGCACATGCTGAGTACATGAGTAGGCTACTGTAAGAGATGAAAAAGACGTTTTTTAAAGTCTAAGCACACATGAACTTTAATGTAGTGTATAGCCTAGTAGGCCAGCAGTTGAAACTGGTTTACAGGGGGATTTTAAAGAACAGCCTGCCTTTGTCACTCAACATAAACCCATGTCACATGACTGCATGAAGGAAACCAGGGATAAAGGGGGACTCACTCACATGATAGTCAAGACTGTTTAATTTTCTCTCAGTTAGCCTACTTACTCTCACCAGAGCAGTCAAAGAACTGACAACTCAACTCCAAGAACATTCCCTGCAAGTTATTTTTGGATTTGTTTTTATGGCATAAAGAGAACGTTTTATTAACGTAAAGAAAACTTTCCTAGCTGGGAATGTTTGTTCTTAGAACGTTCTGTGAACCTAAAAGTAACGTTCTGGGAAAGAAAAGTTTGTTAACTCGGTAGCTATAACGACGTAGAACCCATGTAGAACGATTTCAACGTATTATTGTGTCATTGTGTATGTCTTACATAATCACACGATATAACGTTAGCTATTATAAAGAATTTGAAAACAAAACACCTTGTGCAAGTTACGATCCGAACGCGAGCGTCTAGCTTTATGTTGTCAGCAGACAGTTAATTTGTGTTTATATTTTTCACTCAAACAACAAGCTTCATCCTGGGGTTGTCGTGCATCACTACTACTGTGTCTGGGCCTGTGGGCCAGGGGCTGGGCTCAACTGAACGTTGAAGGAGTCACTCTTTTGAATCGGATCTCTTGCATCTGTTGTCTCAACGTTGTCTGGGCACGTCCTCAAATTGTTCGGGCATGCCCAATTTGCAGTATAAGCCGAAACTAATCAGATTAAGCAGACAATAAGAAATATTCAAAGTGAACCGAGGATTTGATGAGGTGAAAAGCCTACTTAAACCTAAATGCAGGAATGCTACAAATTAAACGACCTAAAACTACATCTCCATTGTAGTTTTATTAACATGAAACAGTTTTGGACGTAAGTATTTTATTAAAACGTGCAAAACATGTACAAATATTAATTCGTTTTAGTAGTGACTACGCAAATGGGAATTATAATTATGTTGGCTAAATCGTGGATGCAACAAACTGAACTGAAATACAATTACTAGTCAAACGTTAAAAGTTGGCTGTACAATTATTTATTGTTTTCTTATGCAGTTAATAATAAACCGTAAACAAGAAAACTGCAAAACGACCACGGCGCGTGGAAAAACGTCTGAATCATTTTTGAACCGATTCTTTAAAACAAATTGTTCAAATGAACCGATTTACGGAATTGAGTCTGATCCCTTCTCTAGCTGGAATCAGGCTGGAATTCGAGTAGGGAAGTGACGCTTTCTACCAAAGTCTTTCCCCATCCGTATCCGCCGGAACACAGAACTTCGCGCAATTGGAGTCCCTTGATGTCAGTCAGCAGCGGCGGCTTTGCCACCACCTCTCCAGATTCCATTCTCTACTGCACTTGGCGACCATATCGGCCGTCAGGGAAAGAAATACCATCGGGATGAGGAGATCGTAGGCCATGTAAATACAAAGTGTAAAATGTTAACGATTTAATCGACACATCGATGTGGTGTTTGCTTTTCGAATATCGTAGTTATGGTCCCAATAGTCTCCCGTCCGTGTGTTTTATCCACCACCGTCTCTAGCCTCGGGAAAATGTACCCGACTATTCTTGGTAGCATTTTTTTCACAAACAAAAGAAGACACCCGAAAAAGCAATAAAAGAGCACGACAGAAGGATCGGTGAGTTCATCTCTCCGTGTGTTGTAAATGCGTATCGATTATTTTATGTTATCGCGCATGTTCGATGGCTTTTTAAGTAGTTTTTTTTTCAGTCGGCCCCCTTTTCTAATGTCCGAAGCCGGTTGAACTAAAGCAACCAGGAGGAATGTATATAGAAGACATTTAAAATGACGTACATCGAGTTATTAAGCACAGACTTAGATTAATACAGTAGTTCTTCTTGTAATGTGTCGAAAGGATCATGAATGCATCTTAAATAATACCGCTATTTCAATGCCTGGATTGACTAAGTTAGACTGGCTGCAATGTTATTGCAAAGGCCCATATTTTTTGTCTCTAAGGTTTAAATGCAATCAGTGAATACAATATGGACTCTAATTATTTGAATGAGCCTAATGTTAAGCACATAAACGTATTTATTTTGATCTGAGGTGGATCCTCATGACATCCCATGAAATTACATGACATGTCAAGCAATAGAAACGCTTGGCCATTGTGTAAAACCAACCTGAGTTCAATTATATGGTATGAGAATTAATATTAATGAGATAAACCTTTGTGTGGTAAAGGTCATTTTTAACACATTTCTTACATGTAACTATTTGTGCATGTGAATTTTTCAAATTGGACATACACCAAGCATGAATCTTGACCATTATCAGAAATTAGCTTTGTTTAATTGCAATATTTTACCTTAATTGGACAACATATTTATTTCTAATGTAAAATGTTCTTGCTTTGTCAAAAAAACGTTCAATTGAATCTGTTACAATTATGGCCATTACGTGTGAATCAAGTCATGAAATCAAATATGAAAGAAGTTAGAAACTATCCACACAAGACAATATATCATTAGACATTGAACACTAGAAAATGCTTATGAGACAGATATATGACAGCTGCAGGTCACTACAGTGCCTGCGGAAAACAAAACCCATACTGAATCTATTAATAGAAACTCATAGAATATGTATTATAAAATATGTCAAATGTTAGATAACAGATACAGTTACTATTTCCCCCCACATTTTAATATATGGGATATTTTTGTAACTTCCGGAGACGATTTGCCCAGGCTAATTTCTGAATCTGGTCAGCATATGTTCAAATGAGTAAAAAGGGCATTGGTCCAAATGTATTTAAGTTGGAAATGTTACTCAATATAGGCTAAATGCCTATCTATCCGAAAAAGGGAGTTGTGGGCCATTGTTGCATAAGATACACAGTGGTGTAACCTCAGCCGGCCCATAAAACCTCCTTAAAACTACAATTCTACAACGGTCTGGTTTCCAAAAAGCGTGGTTTGTGGAGATTGAGGATGCCAGGGAACATTTTCTGTTTCTGCAAACTTTCTGACACAGTGCTAAAGATTGTGGGTTCATTCTGAAAAAAAAAAAAAAGCGTTTGAAATATTATCTAGCTAGTTCAGGGTATTGCAGATACATCCTCTTGACACGCAAGGCAATTAGCCGAGAGTGAGAGACTGCAAACTGCTGCTTGCATATTTCAGTGTGCAGAGGTTAAGGCCTGCCCAGATATTTTAGTTGTCTTGAGCGGGGCTTATACATTGTAACAGACGTTTCCTAGAAAGCTGCTTAACTACACTTCAGTAGAGTATCAGTGACACTGTGGTCCTACAATAAGGTCTCATTTTTAAAATGAATGCATTAGCTAACACTAACAATGAGCAGTGTAGTTTTTACAGCATTTATTTAATCATCTTTAATGCTAGTTAATACAAATTAAGTTGTTCCTGTTCATAGTGAATTATCTTTAGATTGTTTTAAATAATTCTATAATGTTGAAATTAGCATAAAATAAATAAATGCTGTAACTAGTGTAGATAGCTAACAAATTATTTATAAAGTAACTTCCAGGTGGCTAAGTTATATGATTCATGCTAGTCTCAAATATAGTAGATTTATTTGCGTTTTTATTATTATTTATATTTTAAAGATATGAGATTAAAACATAGGCTAAATTAACTGTTAAAAAGTTTGGGGGATCTGTAAGATTTTCTTGAAGTTTTTAGTTCTTTACGTCTCTTCAAGTCTGTTCAAAAAAAGAACAGCATTTATTTGAAATGGAAATCTTTTGTAAAATTAAAAATGTCTCTACTGTTGTACTCTATCTTTTAATTACTTTATTCTTTCTGATTGTTTTATATTTTATTCATCTTTCCTGAATAGCAGTATTAATTACTTTCCAAAAATAATCTCAAACTCCCCAAACTTTTAAACAGTTAATGCTGTTACGTTTGACATTGACAGGAGAACGCATGGTATTCCTTTTATCAATGGGATCATGATCAATATATTATTTATGTTTTTTTTATTACTTGTATTGTTCCTAGCGGTTTAAGCGACTGGTGTAGTATTAAAGCGAAGTGCCACATTTTTCATAGAGCACCTAAAGTAAAACACACCAGTGCTGTGGCTCTATATCGATCTTATTTATTGTGGAAGGAAGAACAATCCACTCTGTCTGACATCCAGGTCATGGATGTTATCATAAACTCTCGATAGGACTTGTACATTTAATTCAGTACTCAAATTTTACTTGTTTTTAAATACTTAATATAATATGCTTAATATCATATTCTCATACTCTCAGAGAAGGGCATACTTTACAGAGGGGGCTGGGCCCACGCTACCAGGAAGCAGAAGCTCTGGGCAAGGCTTGTTAGCGTTCTTGGTAGCAGAAACCCAAGCTGAGCAGAGAATAGCATAGTATTTAACGGGCTGGTGTTTTGTGATCTGGTGCCAGGATTCATCCGCAGAGACGCTTCTGTTGCATCTGGTTAATGGTAGAACAAGGGTAACAGAAGAACAGATCCACTAATCCACTAATACCCTCTAACTGGTTAAAGCAGAAACCGTAGTTGCGGAGTGTCCTGTAAGCTGCAGAGTAATGAGGATTTAAACGGGTATAGGTACAGAGATACTTAGAAATGTTGTTAATACATTTATGTTGTCTTAAATAACATTTTAAAGTTAAATGCATCTCTATTGTGCCTTAGTTTTGAGCGTTAAAATTGAGAAGGTTCATCCTTTTTGAGAAGGTTCATCCATCCTTTGTGTTGATTTTGTAAAAAGTCTTTGCATTGACTTGTACCTGGACTTTAAAGTGTACTCAAACCTCTTTTTATTTGTGATATGGTGCCTTAGTCTATATACATTACATTCACTCTCGTGTTTTAGGACACCAAATAATTACACTGTAATTAATAATAATACTTTTATATTGATTTAGATTATTATTATCCTTAATACATTCATATAAATTTTAAAACAAATTCACTGTAATGTAAATGAAAAATTAATTTCTTATTTTAGTATAATATTTTAAATTTACAGTAGTGAAATAACAATACTTTGTCCTAATTTCTTCACTTGCTAGAGATACAGCCTTCAGCTTTTATTTTGGTGAGAAAATACAGTTGAACTTTTATTTTTGTGGTCCACAAAAATTAGATATGTGAATGTGAAAATAATAGTGGGCATTATGTTCCCAAATGCATATAAAACTGGCCTAAATGGCCCAAAACACAAGGTTAGAGTTTTTTGTTATGTGAAGTGTAAAACTGTTATCCTTTCATTATAAAGCTGTGTGGGCCGATTATAAACTGTGGCAGCCCTCCAGAGTAGGTAATTAATAGGGAAACTTCTACTTTTTCATATGCAGTTTTAAACTTATACAACATTTTTAATAATATATATGAAATAATTTCACACTAATTCTGTGTTGTTTTTTCTGGTAATAAAATGAAGACATAAAACACAAATTTTATCATTTATCACCAATTTTGATCATATGAAATAAATAAACTTTTTGTCAAATTAACCCCCCATGGTAGGGGAAACACTGGAACTCCTTTATGGAGAGTCGCATGTTCTTCCACTGAAGCACGAGATGCTCTTTGGCTCATTCTGAATCATGCTGGGGAACTTGATAATTGGTTTGACAGATTTGTGGAGTTCATCCAGCTTAAATGACAACTCCGGCGCAAAATATACCTTTGGTGTAATAACACATTGGTACCCATTCAACTGTTCTCTGAGATTTTTCATGATAATCGAATGTAAAGAGTTTTATCTCTAAAAACTGTTTAGCGTATAACGCTAGTATAGGCATAGAGTAATGACAAATAAAAATCACTAGTTGATACCACTAACAGGGCTTAAAATAGCCTTACACTAACACCGTAACATAATGAGGGTCCCTACATGCAAACCGAATCATTGAGAACATTGTAAGTGTACAGACAGTTTAATAAGACAATATTTTATGAAGACCGTCCACTTTGTGTATACAGGCAGGAGCCATCTTTGGAAAACAGTCTCGATAATTCGAACCACAAACACCGTGCTAAGTGAGCTGTACTGTATCAAGTTCAGCGAACTTCTGAACTTTATGAACGGCGTTCGTGGTTTGACTCGTCGAGACTGTTGTCGAGATGGGGGGGGGGGGGGGGGGGCATAGAGTAGGCAGCGGGGCCAGCGCATGCCTGCTCTTTGAGAAAAACTTTGGACAGTGAGCGTTTTCTTGGGATGCAAACAGGTCTACCACCACTCTGCCGAATGTCTCCCACAGCAGTAGAACCGTCTGCGGGTGCAGTGAACATTCTCCTGCTGGAACATTGTTTCTGGACAGTCTGTCTGGTCCCAAATTCTGGTGACCAGGCACATCTGGTGCTCTCAATATGCACAGATTGTGTTGAGCCCAGACCAGGAGGTGTTCGGTCAGCCTGTAAAGGTTTTGGGACCTGATGCCACCCTGGCAATTTATATAGGCCACCACTGACATGTTGTCCGAACAGACCAAGACGTGGTCATTTTTTCTTATCTGGGGAAAAAAAACGCCTCAGCGCGTTGTCCATTGCCATCGTTTCCAGACAGTTTATGTGTAGAAGCTTCTCCCATTCTGACCACTAGCCAAAAAACGGTCTGCCCTCGAGCAGCACTCCCCATCCCGAGGTGGAGGCGTCCATTGACACCACCTTCACACTCGAGGAAGTCCCCAGGTTTACACCTGACTGGTACCAGTCGATTGCTCTCCAAGTTTTCAGAGCTGAGACGCATTTCTGATCAACCTTGAGGCGAAACAGAACGGAGGCCCATGGCATAGGTGGTACTCATGCCATAGCTGCAGCGGGCGCATGCAAAGCAGACCCAACTGGAGTACTGATGATGCTGAGGTCATGAGACCCAGCATTTGCTGACACCTTTTGAGTGGGACTATAGTGCCGCAGCAGAAGGATTTTGTGATGCGCTGAATGTTAAGTCTGTGCTCTGGTGACAGTTGCGCTGTCATAGACAGCGAGACTTCGAGACCTAGTGTTAGAATCAACATGTCATTCAATCTTGAACTGCAAATTCTTGAGTGAACTTGGCTGTTTAGGTATGATTTCCACTTTCCAAAGGGGCACTTCCTTTTCCAATATGTTGTTTAAACCTGTTTTTGGGCCAAATATTTTAAAATAGTTTTGTTTGTTTGCTCTTGGGGTGCGGTTCTGTCTCTTAGCCACACAAGGGAGCCCCAAGGCCAAACATGAGCCTCATGCAGAGTGAAAGAAAACATTATGGATGGAAAAACATATGTTGCCAGTTCTGGCAATTGGTGTTTAGCCTGTTGGGTTTCAGAAGGCAGTACGTTGAAGATCTCCAGCTAGTTTGTTTTGGGAAGTGCTTGACTTAAGGTGATAGATTTGGCCTTTGATTGAGACCAGAGCAGTGTAAATTCATTCTGGAAGTGGAGCAAGGTTCCTGAGGGGAAAGGTCAGGCAGGCTTGTTGGCCTCTATGTATCTTGTCGCCACAGCTTCGCTGACAGATCTGAATTTGATTTATGACCATTCTTTATGCTCTCAGACTGGCTTTGAAAGGGACAAAGACAGGGGAACAAGAGGGAAGAGGGTCAGTAAAGACAGAATAAAGTGTCTGAGAAGTTAATAGGCTTTTTCTGCATGCCCTAATTTGCTGAGCTGTCATTGAGCAGCAGGTTTTTGCAGATGCTGTTTGAGCCAAAATGTCACCATGTCCAGTACTAAGAAACATAAATAAGGGTGAGGGTTTAAAAGTGCAGGGGTATGACTTGCTTTTTTTTTTTTTTTTTAATATTTGTAAATCATCTAGTTGTAAGAAATTAAAACACATCATTTATGTTTATAATTATAGCCATTTTCTGTAATTAATGTACAATTAATAATTAAGGGGCCTAAGGGAAAGCTCACACTACAGGACTGCAAGACGTCAAGGTTTCTTGTAGGGATGCTCTGAAATGAAAATTCTGGGACAAAACTTGGAAACTTGGGTAAAAATACAATTACTGAATACAAGTGATATTTTTAAATATATTTTGACTAACTAATTTGACAAACTTAATGACACCTCTCTTCTTCCTCTCCACCATCTCAGAAAAGGTGAATAATACACGGTAGCTTTCTCCCACATGACCTACATTCTGTTATTTTTTTATCAGGAGACTTCATGAACTATCATTAATTATTTATAGATGTTTTTCTCTTTTGTTCAGTATTCTCTTGTTGTGACATATTTAGCGTTAAATAATTTAAGCTTTAAAATTACTCTCAGCTTTCTTTTTCCATAGAAAGACTTGAACTTGGTTTTTACAGTTTGCTGAAAGTTCATCCAGAGTACATTTGCTCAATAGAAATGTTTGTTAAACAATATTTAAGCTCATGCTTCACCTGAAGGTGATTCACTACTGACTTTTTGATTACTCCAATTTGACCTGTTCTGACATTTTGGTCTGGTCTAACATGGTGTTGATTTTACAATAGTAGTGGATGAACAGTTGATGAATTATCCCAAATACAAACTCATGCTGATAGTGTATGATTTTTTTTTAAAGATTATTAAAGCCAAAGCAAATCAAAAGTTCTTTATGGCTACATAATGATTAAGAGAGATATGATTTACAAAGCTATGCAAAAACTCTCTCAGTTCATTAACTGGTTAGGGCTCTGCTATGGTGGGTCAGAAAAAGACAGGCCCAGACCAGCATTGTAACTCAGCTCACGGCGGCTATGACTGGGTGCAGTTCCATGAGTTCATTTTTAGCACTGGCTTTGAGTCTTAGTGGGTCTGCCTGGCAACACTTTAATCACTTGGCCCTGTTTACACCTGGCATTAACATCCATCTCTGGTGATCTGGTTCCAAGTGGTCATTTAACCAAGAACGAGTGCTTTATACACCTGTATATAACATGCGTCTGCTGTGGCAAGTTGTGATTGCATGTCTTATTGAGTGAATGTCACTGCATGTTGATAAAGTACATCAAATATAAACATTTTAGTTGTAATTAGTGTTGTCACGATAATGCAATTTGAAGGGTGGTGAACAAGGAATGTCCAAGGTGTCCTGCCTGATGTTTATGGCCCGCGTGAGAAGACAGCTTCATTCAGGTTCGGTTGGGTGGAGCCAATTATTCTCTCAGCAGTCTTCACAACACGCTGCAGGTCCTTTCTTTCCTCTACTTTTAGTTGTAAATGGAACTAGTCGAGCGTCAATTAGAAAATAATCAATTCTACTAAAGGAGTTGGGGAAAAAAAAGAATCAGATGGTTTATTCAGTTAGACACTTTGTTCTTTTTGCATTTAATTGTCAATTAATATTTTTTTAAACATTTAAAGAACTATATACAGTATTTAGCATTATGAATTTGTGATTTGATTTCCCAACATCGATGTGTAAACTGCGTCTTAGTCACTTAAGCCTTTGATATCTCACAGTCCCTCACACCCACATGTACACTCTTGTGTCTTCTAGTTGTAGTTGTCTGCAAGTCAAGATGGTTTGTAACTAGATGGTTTCCATCTTATTGGTTTTTATCATCATGTGCTAATGGAACGCTGACTTTTTGTTCCAGGTCCAGGTGCCCCCACCTCATGGAGAAGGTTGGCAAGGTGTGGAGCAACCTGAAGAGGGGATGTCAATCTCTGCTCCACACAGATGGGGGTTCTCGTGTTGAAATGACGCCACAGCTTCAACAGCAAACAGACATGGTTTGCCACGTTGTGGACAAGGCCCAGGGAGACAGCACACTTGAGGCTGCCAGTCCCTCTAGCAGTGTGGCAGCACTCCCACAAGTGCCATGGAGGACCAGCGGGAGTGTGTCACAACGGGGCCATAACTGTGTAGCGGATGTACCACAGATACTAGAGATCACAGTTGAGCAGGATACTGAAGATGCTCATGCTCCCCTTGGAGCCCGCAGAGATTCTTATTCACGCCATGCACCTTGGAGTGGAAAGAAGAGACACTCGTGTTCCACTAAGGCCCAGAGTTCTCTGGAGACCACAGATCGTCGATCGAGCCGGTCTCGGCGCAGACATGGGACTGGTAGTAGCTGTGAGGAGTTGGGAGCAGCACGCTCACTACGCCAGCAGATCCATGATACAGTGGGCCTGTGCCTCCCATTGCGAGCATCTTCTCGAAACACTCACCTTCCACCACCCAAACGTAAGATACAAATTACGGAGCTGATGCTGGAGACATGCCCCTTCGCACCAGGATCAGATCTGGCCCGTAAATGGCACCTCATTAAACAGCACACTGCTCCAGTCACAGCGACAGCAGTCGATTCGTCCTCGGATGCCCCTGGTGCTGCCTGTGCATCACCGGAAGATGAGGAGGAGCGTCTGCGAGAAAGAAGGCGACTCAGCATTGAGGAGGGTGTGGACCCACCTCCAGATGCCCAGATCCACACAGTGGAGGCCATCAAAGCCCCCCTAGCTTCTCTTTATAAGCTGGGACCTAAGCTGGCCCCTGGAATCGGTGAGGGCCTAGGCGACAGCCAGGGGGCAACAGCAGCTACCTGTGACTCTGAGGATGATGACACCACCACTCTTTGCTTGCAAGCTCGCAGGCCCAAGCAGCGGCACACTTCTACTGAGGGCCACCTGAGCAGCAAGCAACCAGGGCCTTGGAAAGTGCACACCCAGATTGACTACATCCATTGCTTGGTTCCAGATCTGCTGCAGATCACAGCACTTCCCTGCTACTGGGGTGTGATGGACCGCTACGAGGCTGAAGCGCTGCTGGATGGACGGCCCGAGGGCACCTTTCTGTTGCGAGACTCCGCTCAAGAAGACTATCTGTTTTCCGTTAGTTTCAGGCGCTACGGCCGTTCGCTGCATGCACGCATCGAGCAGTGGAATCACAACTTCAGCTTTGACGCGCACGACCCCTGTGTGTTCCACGCAGCCACCGTGACAGCCCTCTTGGAGCACTACAAGGACCCCACTGCTTGCATGTTCTTTGAGCCGTTACTCACTGTGCCTCTGCACCGGACCTTCCCATTTGGCCTGCAAAGCCTGGCTCGAGCTGCCATTTGCAATGGGATCACCTACGATGGCATCGGGGCACTGCCACTGCCCCCTGCTCTGCAGGACTACCTCAGGGAGTATCACTATAAGCAGAGGGTGCGCGTACGCTGGCTTGAGAGGGAGCCAGTAAAGGTCAAGTAATGCAGGGCGGATAATTCTCAGCTCTCCAACAGGAGTAGTCCATTCAGCACTTTGCAGAAGTGGAGGAATTACATTTTTTTTTTCTGGGGGGGTTAGATGTTTGGTGATGGAGGTGTGAAAGGAGGGTCCTGAAACTGAACACAATATATAAGCTTCTATCATTTTTTTTTTTTGGTTATCACTCAAACACACAAATACAATGGTCTCTCCAGTGTGCACATTTCACTACAGCTTGCACTACAGAACTAGGATGACACTGCAGATGTCTTGGTCAGATTTGAACGCCCTTCTCCCTCAGTTCCCACGACCTCGCTCTAAGGGGGATCTGCAGATACAGATATTTTCATGCTCCTCCACTCTTTCACTGCTTGACTGTGTGGTTTTATTGCCATTTCCGTTCACCTCCCTGCCTGCCCTTAATTCCCTTGCATTACAATTGCATTGTTAATGTTTATTCAAAGTAATATTGTGGACAAATTCTGAGGGGAGGGGAAATGAAAGGTGATGTTCAAATATTGCTTTTTCCAGCTTGTTCATCAGCTTTAGCTTCATGGTGCTCTTTCAGTGGTTCCCATGGTAACATTCTGTGCTCATTCCGAGATTAGATGCATTCTGAAGTAGGAAATAGAAAGGCTTTCAAAAAAACCCTGCTCATGGAGAATGAGGCAGTGTGATTCATAAAATATGGATTGTCCTTAAACTATGTATCTAGACAGATTTTGGGAATGCGTTGCAGTGAAGAGAAGGGCTCTGTAATGTTTAGCTTCCTTGCGCTTCCGGGAAGCGAAAAGGATGATGGTGCACAAAATGATGTGGTGTGACGTGAGAGCGCTTGGTTTTCAAAAAACATTGTTACTCACAGTCTGCCTTCTGTTGCTGTCAATATGTTTTGTAATCATTAATTCCTATCACTAATTGCACAGGGGGTGGGGTTGGGGATTGGGGGGTGGTGACTGACTAATTCTGTATCGTCTTTTTTTGTGAATGGTCTATCAGTGCCCTTGAAGTTGGGCACTGATTAAGAGCACTTTAACTTAACCGTGCTTGTGTTAGTGGGTGCAGCAGAGGCGATACAAAAACCTGCTATGCTGGGACCATTGTTGTTAGGCATAAACACCCTCCTGTATACAGGAATAAACACTCTACACTCACTTTGTTTAACCCACATTGCTCTAGACAGGACGGTAAGCAAGTTTTGAGGAGATCCCGTCAGTGCCATCAGATTTAGGTCAAGCCGACTTGTTTTGTGAGACCTGCTTAATTTAAATGATTTTAATAATAATGAATAGTCTTTAGTACATATAAGGTTAGCAGATTTTTTTTTTTTAAGCAACTAGGAGAAAGGTTGAAATGGAGCACCCCTGCCCAAGACCAGCTTATTGGTCACTTTAGAATCAGATCCACACTTTAATTTCTTTATGTACAATGAGGGATTCCAAATACTAAGTATAGAGAAATAGACATATTTATAACTCACGTGATCTTTGCCCCATTTAAACAAAAAAAGATAAGCTCACTTAAGCCAGTGATACCCAGTCCTGGTTCTGGGGCCAGGACCAAGATTGGGAACGGTTGACTTAAGTAGCGCTAAGTACATCATCATGGTGCATTCAGTGGATTTACTAATTGTGGTCCAATTGGAAAAGACATGTTTTCCAATGACCGTTCGACTGTCAGTGACACCATTAGACACCTTCTTCATGGGCCTGGTGCTGATGTGTGATGTATTTTGAATAATGCTAGGGATACAACTATTGATCCCCACATCTTTCTGACTTTTTAATTGATGAGATCAGGTAGAACTGCCAAATGCTAAGCTCAGGCTCACAACACTTTAACAGCAGGGTAGTACAGTGCAAATATAACCAGCTTTGTGTGCTTGTGTGTGTAAGTGTGTTGCACTGACTCTGACCTCAGTCAACTGTAAGAGACTTCTGCTGACATGAAAAGTTTGTTATACGCTCCTCCCAGGCAACACTAATCCACAGTCTATCCTGATGCATTTAAAGTCGTCTTCCTGCACATTATCCTGTTGAGTCTTTTTTTTTTCCTTGCACAAGAAAGGATGTCAGGATCATCCTGGGAAGAATTCAAAGACTTGAGGAAAGAACTTTGGGGTGACATCACTGTAACCACTGCGTGGTTTGATCTCCCTCACCACACTATCTCTTTCTGTTGGGTGTGGGTGAAATTTGTGCAATTTAGACAGAGCCTCTGCTTGTATGATGGTTGTGAAGCAGGTTTCAGGTTGACATGGCATCTGAAGGGGCCAGCTGTCCTGCTTACTACTCAACTGTAAAAGTCTCATGCTTGGCTTTGCTCCAGACACTCCTCACTGCACTAACCCATGAAACTTGACGTGTACCTACCTATACCTGTGTACCTACCTAATATACCTGTGTACCAATTTTCATCAGGGGTGGAGCATTTGCTCAGTCAGATAAGGGCAGAGAAGAGGATCATGGTGCCTCTTCTCTCCCTCCTATAGTTTTCCCTAGTTTTACTAAAGGCATAATGGATTCAAATGGATACCTATCAAATATATATAAAATAATTATTAGACAGATTTTTAAAATGAAATATTTTTTAATGAGTAAATTAAGAAATGCAATAATCTATTTGGGCTTGGCTGTAATGGTGAAAACTGATGTGAATTGTCTGAGAAATATGTCTCCTTTGAAATTGTCTTCAGGTTAGAATCATTCTATTCACATTTCTACAACATAGGATGTTGGAGCAGTATGTCATACAGGTGTGTGAGAAAAACTAGATAAATGTGACCAAAGGTTTAAGTTTGGTGAAAAAATGTCAATGTGATAGCTTTCTCACAAAATGATTGCTAAATGTTCCCAGATAAACATTTCAAAGTCAAAAAGAATCTAGTTTTAGACCCTAAAGGTGCTAATTGGCTCACAGTATGGATTAATTAACTTTCAGAAGTGCCTTTTCTTAAATACTTCACCCTTTCCTCAAGTAACCCAACTTAAGTGATACCCAGTCTAGTTAATTTGCATCTTTCAGCAAATTAAAGCAAAATACAACACAAACGTATCCATTAGTTTTATGTTTTTATACAAATTTGGTGTTGTGTTCTGAAAGAAAGTTCAAAATATCATGAATAATTTGTGAACAAAAGGCTTTTATCCACCCTTGTTTTAGGATCCAAGTTAAGGTTTGGATTAGTTAAATGTGATTATGAAATATTTATAGTCCATCAGGTGTATGATTGACTTAAGTGATGCACATGTAAATGCGCATAGATGGAGACTTTATCACAGATGGCCAGAAAGCAAGATGAAAGGTCATGATTCTCAGATGTGATACTAAGGCATAGATTGGCAGTGTTTGGCCTCACATGATATGTATACCTGTCAATATCCTAGCTGGAGAATTTCTTCTAGAAATTAACAATAGTATGTTAAAACGTTAGAGATAATGTTGCAAGCCATTTTGTGTGCAGAGCCTTGCACATTACCAACAGGAAAAGCTTTCTTTTCAATATGATGCATTCTGTACACAAACTATAGGGAGACTGTGTTCGGCATTGTTTAGACAGAAATAAAAGACGTGCTGATGTATTAAATTCTGCTGGCTCTGTGTCAGATTCAATAATTCACAAGAATCACCAAGGTAACCGTGTTACCTTAAAGTTTGAATGGGCTGGAGGTGAGATTTTAGGACTGGGTGCCAGGATGACAACACTTGACAATGATTACACTTAAGATGCGCCACCCATGACCTGCTGCCGAATTTCTGATTGGACCCTTGGGACAAGCCCCTCTAGACACTTGATGAAACATGCACCATGGTTCTGGAGTGACATGGATATCACGATCTCTCACCATCTTATGTTTCATTATTTTTTTTTATACACTGCCCAAGGTTTGTGCTGTACAATGTAATTACTCACACTCAATGTTCTCTCTTATCTTTCCTTCATTCTCTCTTATGTACAAATAATGGTCCCTACTCCCAGGCTGTTACTATGTTGCTCTTTTGTATTATTTTTTTGACTTTGGGTTACAGTTTGCTGTTTTTGGGGCTCCACATGCCCTTCTTTCACCAGTAGCTGTCACTCTTGGTGCTCTTGGCTTATGCTTCATTGTCTTAATATTCAAAAATAAAAGTGTTGTATGTGTAACCAGTTTCCATGTTTTCCTTTTTCATTTAGCGGTTGGTTCTTCTAAATTTGATACTGAACTTTTTCTGTTAAATTTAAATGCCACCTCAATTAAATGTTTGAGATTCGGTTTCAAGTGGTGGATATTTCTTTAGTTCTTGAAATGATATTCAGGATGCTAAATTAATCATTTTGTGTTTTTTAGTTGGCCTTTTGTACTTTAGCCTACTAGCTTAGCATTTTGCTAACAGGTTAAAAGTTAAATACGCTAACAGGTTTTGCTAACAGGTTAAATGCGTTTATGATCAAACATTGAGAAAATGTCTCTCCATGACTGGAAGTTTCAGGTTATTTGTATCTGTAGTGTGTTGAAGTCAGGTAAAAATAACGTGAATGCTGCATTGATTGAGGAAAAGAGGGAAGGTAGGATAGAGGTGTGAGAAAAAAAGATGTGATCTCTCAATCTAATGCACTAGTCACTTCAAACCAGTATTGTATAATGCACTCCTTACCAATTCTGCATTAAACGTTCCATGTGTATTCAGTCCTCTGTTTGGGACCATTGAGGTCAGTGGGTAAATGTGTAGGGACTTACAGGAGTTCATCATGGTTGGAGCCTGCCTTAAAGACACTGAACTGTAAATTCAGTACTGAACTATAAATATACCCAGACATCTGTGCTTCGCAACGTTTGAAGTTCACAGTAAGGTCTGCATGATCTTGTGTTAGCCACAAATGAATAACTGTGACATCTGGTTCATCTGTTCTTGTCATCCAGCTTAAACAAGGTAAGAAAAGAATAGTCTTTTTTAGCAGACAAGTCACACACAAAAATTTTTGCTATTTTAAAGATTCTTCCTGTCCTCAGCTAGTTATTTTGACTTTGAAAAAGAAAAATTCTGTCAATTTACCTTCAGGACATCTCTAATGCTCAGTTCCACCCTCTTAATTGTGGTTGAAAGTACCTTTCAAGCAGCCTGTTTTGCGAGTTTATTTTGGTTATAGGTCACTTGCCTCTTATTGCTGGGCCCAATGTTGAGATATTAATGTTGTAGGTTCATCATTCAGGGTTTGTCTGTTTTACAGAAAAGGGGAGGGCAAGGGTCGGGTTGCATTCTCTCCTCACGCCATGTCTGACTGGATCTTGTGAGACATCCATGAAGTTGGCAGTGAGTTCCCAGACATGCAGTAACAAGATGTAGACCTATTTATCAAACATTCAACATCAAAGTTGTCTGCTAGAAATATAGCCTAACTAGGCTATGTTTTCTAATCTAAAAGGCAGCGGGATTGAGGTTGATATAGCCTAACTTCCAAGTCTTATCTAGGCCTGATTAAGAGTTCTAGGAATTCAACCATGCCAACACATAGATGCAGTGCAACAGTACACACACACACACACACACACTTGCTGACAGGAGCAGGTCACATTTGAAGGTCATATTGAGTTTTGATGTGAAGAGCAGACGGCTCTTGTGCCAGCTAAAATGCACTGCTGTCTTACATGCAATATTGTTTAAAGACATTGTACAATTATAAAGAGCCTACTTTTTCTGGGTAAGAAAATAAAAGTAATATCATTACTTAGTTACAGATAACCTAAAACCGAATATTCTGTCTGTTTTTATTGTTTATTTCGATTATGTAGGCCCTGCATGTCTGTCATTTGTGTAACACATCGCAAACGTTTTACTGGTCAATTTTCCATATAGAACAATGAGGGATTGATTTCACACTTCAAAAATAATGGAAAAGCACCAAAAGTGTCAAGATAGGGCCAAGATACTTGTCTTCTGGCGGCATTCAGTATCTTACCGAAATCTATGCCGTTTTTCTTTTGGTAGGTATATAACGAACAAGTCATTCTTTCGATCCAAATTTCTTTATTGAACCGTTTGTCCAACATTGATTCAGTCACGAATCGGACTGATCCGATGCAAGTTCAACTTGACAGCACTCTTCATTGAAGGGAAATGTAGGCCTATACGCCTTATTCACGGCAGCGCCATGTTTGATTTTTAATGAGAATGAGAGAATATGCAAATATGAGAATATGCACTAGGTCATATGAACCATTTTCATGATACATTTAATGTCATAATTTTTTTTGTGACCATTTGAGCCTCGATGTCGATTCATACGGGTTTGAAACGACATGAGTAAGCTTGATATTAGAGTGGTTTCAAATTTCTTCATTATTTGTGTTTCCTTTTGTGTCCAGCAGGTGTCGGTACAGTAATAAAGACTGAGAGGGCCTCATTTATAAATCTAACGTAGAAACGAGGGCAGAAATCACCGTACGACCACATGGTTCACTTGTGATTCCCATCGTACGAATGATCTACGTGGCTCAAAACAATCGTCATTTAAAGCATTGCCCCTAGAGGGCCAGGCCAGGAAGAGGATTCAATCTCTTGAAACAGAAGGATCTTAGCCTACTCTAAAAACACCCGTTAACCTCCTAATTAGCCTACACGAACAATTATATGTGTACAATTTATTAATACATTTTAAATAAACAGGGTTTTTAAAATTTTTAGAATGCCATACACACCCAAATATGATAATTCCTGTTATATCTTAACACACCTGTGGACAACACATTTACTTTTAACTCAACCAGTGTTGTTAAATCACACAATTTGTGTCATATATTTTTTTAATTTAATATATTTTTAATTTTATATTTTTTATTTATTTAGTAGTTTTATTTATTTCTTTATTTTTTGATGTTTTCTCTAGAAATTGTCCACGGACCCCCTGTCACGTCCTTTGCGTCCTTAAACATCCTTTAGGCTATATACAAAAACAAATTGTTTGGTTGGGCTCTGCGCTGATTGTACTGTTTAAATTGAGCAGAGTAACTTTTATGTGTAACTAAACTTTATTTGGCTGACTGCACTTCAGTTTGATTATGAAAGGCTGAAATGTCAAGGCTAGAGCTGATATGTTGTATGCCAACGCATTCTCATCCCTGATATGTGCCTTTTGTTGTTGTTGTTGTTGTTGTTGTTGTTAACCTGATAACTATTTAAAGTCCCTTTGAGGTAAAAATCAAGCTATTAATGTTGTTGCTTTTTTTGTGTTGTTTAAGACAATTCATATCAACACCGTTCCATTGCTCAGTACTTTCTCTTTAAAACTTTAAAACCGCTGGTGTTTCTGACGTCACAAACTACTTTGTAAATTGCAACCAATCACGTCAATGTGCCAGCGGGCTTTATTTCATTAACAGAGAACTAGCAGGGGAGTCTCGAGAGATATCTCTGTATATTTTTCGTTTGGTTAGATTTAGAGATAGCGGGTGTATGATGTATAGCCTATACCATGTTATGATGAACTATGCCTTTCTCTACTGACGTTCTGATTTGTTCATAGCGTTTGTAATGATTATTTGAAGGCAGCTGTCTGACTCTGAGATAGCATTTGCGATACATTTGTGGTATTTTTAATCTATTTTTTTTTTTTTTTAAAAAACAGCCGTTTAACGGTTAATGATCGGTTATATCGAGTTGTCGGTCCAGAAAATAATCTTAATGAACAATATGTTCTCATAATATACCAGATTTACTTTGCTGCACGCAAGTTCACGCAACTCAAAAATTTGCGTACATGAACTGAGACCTGAGGTGAGACAGCCACCGCTCACATCCATATTGATAAATGGCAAATTTTTCCCATACTCCAAATTTTCTGTTGTAGGCTATGTTTGGTAAATGAGGCCCAGAGACACCACTTCTCAATCGCAATAAGGCTATAATGGCTGCATATTGCTCTGCATCAGTATCTTTACTATTGAAGTAAACTCTTTGACCCTTGTCCCATCTTTTGTCTTTCCTTCTGTTGTTTATTGGTAGCCTATATGTGACAGGTTGATGTGGACCAAACCATTTGGAGTGTTAGCTGGAATTTTATTTGGATGAAATTAAGCTTACACGATATTATACAAAAAATGTCTCTCCTGCCCTGGTTATATCATTCCCACCCTCTCCTCTGTTATCCTTTCTTCCTCTCTCTCTCTTGCACTCCTCCATTTGTGATTATTTTAACTCTTTCCTCGTTGGCACAATGTGACTCAGCATAACAGCTCACACTCGTGATCTGCACACTGTGTGTGTGTGCCTGAATCAGTTTTATAATTATGGTAAGAATACAATATTGTATGCCTTTTCTAAGACGTGGGAAACACAGCTTTCTAGAAAGCATGTCAAAGGCTGAGAGAGTGGTCAACTTTAGACTAAGTGTTCTCAAGTCAATGTCGCAATGCAGCTGCTGCACGGATGCTGTTGCTTAGCAACCAGCGCATCACCAGAAGCTGCTCATGGTTATGCAAGTCCCTTCTCTCTTTCTGTCTATCCCTCTTGATTCATCTTCATTTGTCTCACTTCTGGACTTTATTCATTTGGGTATTTTTTTTATTTTTTATTTTGCCAGATCTGCCCTAAAGTCTGTTTTAATGTTGATGACAAACTGTTGTCTGTCCGACATAAAGATTGTACATCACAGACTCATGGACTTTTTTATTGGTGGATTGGATGCAGATTATGGGAGTAATTGTCTGAATAGGGTATATTTAGTTTTTATTCTGATGTACGTTGCATGTCGTATGTCGGCTGGTCTATGGACCCTAGACCTCTTTATCAGATCAGACTAGGTGTCCCGATGACACATGATGGATTTCTTGAGGTTTTTTTTTTTTTGTTTTGTTTTTCTTAACCTGGCTTCTCGGAAATCTAGTTGAAGCTGTTGATAGCTGCCTTTTTCTGTCCCGCGGTAGTGTAACCACTGTTCCTTTAAATTTGATCTTACAAACTATGCTTCCAACAGTGTCTCTAGGAACATGTATGCCCTTTGCTATCTTTTTGTATCCTGTTCCTTGTTTGTGAAGGGTGAGGATATATCTACGTAATGTTGTGGCCTTTTGGAAAGCTCGTTGATTTTTACTGTGGGTGATGACAGTATCTGCAATGTTGACTGTTCCAAGATGGCCGACACTTCAATATGTCTGGAGCATAGACAGTATAAGA